TAGCCTGACCAACCTGCCTGAAGCAGAGGATTTCGGTGGAACCTGTTCACATAGGCGCTTTGGGCCTTTAAGAATACACAATCCATCATTGTTGGTGGTGTTTACAAACTCCCATGCACACTACTCTCACTCCATCCATTTCCATCCTATGGGTGGTAGTCACCCCATTTACTCCAACCTGTGAGTGGTAGTCACCCCATATATAACATCCTGTGGGTGGTAGTCACCCCATCTAACAATCCTGTGGGTGGTAGACACCCCATCTGAACCATGGTGTAGGGGGTAGTCACCCAATCTATACCATCCTGTGGGTGGCAGTCACCCCATCTATACCATTCAGTGTTTGGTAGTCACCCCATCTATACAATCCTGAGGGTGGTAGCTACCCCATCTATGTCATCCTGTGGGTGCTAGTCATCCCATCCATACCATTCTGTGGGTGGTAGTAACCCCATCTATAGTATCCTGTGGGTGGTAGTCACCCCATCTATACCATCCTGTGGGTGGTAGTAACCCCATCTATAGTATCCTGTGGTTGGTAGTCACCCCATCTATACCATCCTGTGGGTGGTAGTAACCCCATCTATAGTATCCTGTGGGTGGTAGTCACCCCATATATACCATCCTGTGGGTGGTAGTAACCCCATCTATAGTATCCTGTGGGTGGTAGTCACCCCATCTATACCATCCTCTGGGTGGTAGTCACCCGATCCATACCATCCTGTGGGTGGTAGTCACCCCTTCCATACCATCCTGTAGGAGGTAGTCACTCAAACTATACCATCCTGTGGGGGATATCCACCCTATCTATGGTTGGAAGTCACCCCATCTATACCCTTCTGTGGGTGGTAGTCACCCCATCTATACCATCCTGTGGGTGGTATTCACCCCGTCTATATTATCCTCTGGGTCATAGTCACCTCATCCCTACCATCCTGTGACTGGCAATCACCTCATCTATACCATCATGTGGGTAGCAGTCTCCCCATTCATACCATCGTGTGGGTGGTAGTCACCCCATCCATACCATCCTGTGGGTCATAGTCATCCCATCCATACCATCCTGTGGGTGGCAGTCACCCCGTCTATACCATCATGTGGGTGGTAGTCACCCCATCTATACCATCCTGTGGGTGGTAGTCACCCCATCTATACCATCCTGTGGGTGGTAGTCACCCCATCTATACCATCCTGTGTGTGAAGTACCCCATCTATACCATCCTGTTGGTGGTAGTCACCCCATCTATATCATCCTGTGGGTGGTAGTCACCCCATTTATACCATGTTGTGGGTGGTAGTTACCCCATCTATACCATGCTGTCTGTGGCAGTCCCCCCATCTATACAATCCTGTGGGTGGTAGTCCCCCCATCTATACAATCCTGTGGGTGGTAGTCACCCCATCTATACCATCCTGTGAGTGGTAGTCACCCCATCTACTTAATCATATGGGGTGGTAGTCACATCTATACCAAACCATACCCCCGGCCGGGATTGAACCCGCGGTCATAGAGTCTCAAAACTCCAGCCCGTCGCGTTAGCCACTAGACCAGCTAGCCAAAATAAGATTCATCCAACTAGGTATATTTCTACACCATAGGAAGGTTAGCACAGGCACCACTGTGACCACAAATGCAAGTTTTTACAGACGAATCTCCAGCTAGCGTGGCCGTGACGAACTCTAGCTCAAGTCCCTCCATTGCCGTCATTATGATTTCTTGAGTCACATCTATACCATCCTGTCGGTTTTAGTAACACCATCTGAACCATCCTTTAGTTGGTAGTCACCCAATGTATACCATCCTGTGGGTGCTAGTCGCCCTATCTATCCCATCCTGTTGGTGGTAGTCACCTCATCTATACTATCCTGTGGGTGGTAGTCACCCCATGTATACCATCCTGTGGGTGGTATTCACCCCGTCTATATCATGCTGTGGGTCATAGTCACCCCATCCATTCCATCCTGTGAGTGGCAGTCACCCCGTCTATACCATCATGTGTGTGGTAGTCACCCCATTCATACCATCCTGTGGGTGGTAGTCACCCCATTTACTCCATCCTGTGGGTGGTAGTCACCCTATTTATACTCTCCTGTGGGTGGTAGTCACCCCTCCTATACCATCTTGTGGGTGGTAGCCACTCCAATTAAACCATACTGTGGGTGGTAGTCACCCTATCCATACCATACTGTGGGTGGTAGTCACCCCATATGTACCATCCTCTGGGTGGTAGTCACCCCATCTATACCGTCCTGTGGGCGGTAGTCACCCAATCTATACCATCCTGTGGGTGGTAGTCACCCCGTTTAAACCATCCTGTGGGTGGTAGTCACCCTATCCAAACCATACTGTGGGTGGTAGTCACCCCATCTGTACCATACTCTGGGTGGTAGTCACCCCATCTATACCGTCCTGTGGGTGGTAGTCACCGAATCTGTACCATCCTGTGGGTGGTAGTCACCCAATCTGTACCATCCTATGGGTGGTAGTCACCCAATCTATACCATCCTGTGGGTGGAAGCCACTCCTTCTATATCATCCTGTTGAGGTGGTCACCCCATCGATACTATCCTGTGGGTTCTAGTCACCCCATCCATGCCATCCTGTGGGTGCTAGTCACCCCATCTTTACCGTCCTGTGGGTGGTAGTCACCGAATCTGTACCATCCTGTGGGTGGTAGTCACCCAATCTGTACCATCCTATGGGTGGTAGTCACCCAATCTATACCATCCTGTGGGTGGAAGCCACTCCTTCTATATCATCCTGTTGAGGTGGTCACCCCATCGATACTATCCTGTGGGTTCTAGTCACCCCATCTATACCATCCTGTCGGAGGTAGTCACCCAATGTATACCATCCTGTGGGTGGTAGTCACCCTATCTATACCATCCAGTGGGTAGTATTCACAACGTCTATATCATCCTGTGCGCCATAGTCACCCCACCCATACTATCCTGTGGGTGGCAGTCACTCCATCTATACCATAATGTGGGTGGCAGTTACAGAATTCATACCATCCTGTGGGTGGAAGTCACCTAATCTATACCCTCCTGTGGGTGGTAGTCACCACTTCTATACCATCCTGTTGGAGGTAGTCACCCCATCTATACTATCCTGTGTGTGGTAATCACCCCATTCATACCATTCTATTGGTGGTAGTCACCCCATTTACTCCGTCCTGTGGGTGGTAGTCACCCCATTTATACCATCCTGTGGGTGGTAGTCACCCCATTTATACCATCCTGTGGGTGGCAGTCACCCCATCTATACCATCCTGTGGGTGGTAGTCACCCCATCCATACCAGCATGTGGGTGGTAGTCACGCTATCTGAACCATGCTGTAGGTGGTAGTCACCCAATCTATATCATGTGTGTGGTAGTCACCCCATCTATGCCATGCTGTGGGTGGTAGTCACCCCATCTGTGCTATCCTGTGGGTGGTAGTCACCCCATCTGTGCTATCCTGTGGGTGGTAGTCACCCCATCTATACCATCCTGTGGGTGGTATTTACCCCATCCATGTCATCCTGTGGGTCATAGTCACCCCATCCATACCATCCTGTTGGTGGCAGTCACCCCGTCTATGGGTGGTAGCCACCCCGTTCATACCATCTTGTGGGTGGTAGTCACCCTATTTACTCAGTCCTATCTATGGTGGTCATCCCATCTATACCATCCTGTGGGTGGTAGTCACGCCATCTATACTATCCTGTGGGTGGTAGTCACCCCTTCTATATCATCCTGTGGTTGGTAGTCACCCCATCTATACAATCCTGTCGGTGGTAGTCACCCCTTCTATACTATCCTGTGGGTGGTAGTCATCCCTTCTATACTATCCTGTGGGTCATAGTCACCCCATCCATACCATCCTGTGGGTGGTAGTCGCCCCTCCTGTACCATCCTGTGGGTGGTAGTCACCCCTCCTATACTACCCTGTGGGTGGTAGTCACCCCATTTATACCATCCTGTGGGTGGTAGCCACCCAATCTATACCATCGTGTGGGTGGTGGTCACCCGATCTATACCGTCCTGTGGGTGGTACTCACCCCATCTATACCATCCTGTGAGTGGTAGTCGCCCCATTCATACCATCCTGTAGGTGGTAGTCACCCCATCTATACAGTTCTGTGGGTGGTAGTCACCCCATCTATACCGTTCTGTGTGTGGTAGTCACGCCATCTATACCATCCTGTAGGAGATAGTCACACAATCTATACCATCCTGTGGGTGGTAGTCACCCCGTATATACCATCCTGTGGGTGGCAGTCACCCTATCTATACCATCCTGTGGGTGGTATTCACCCCGTCTGTATCATCCTGAGGGTCATAGTCATGATACCCATACCATCCTGTGGGTGGCAGTCACTCTATCTATACCATCTTGTGGGTGGCAGTTACCGCATTCATACCAACCTGTGGGTGGTAGTCACCCCATTCATACCATCCTGTGAGTGGTAGTCACCTCGTCTATACCATCATGTGGGTGGTAGTGACCCCATCTATGCCATCATGTGGGTGGAGGTCACCCCGTCTATACCATCATGTGGTTGGTAGTCACCCCATCTATACCATCATGTGGGTGGTAGTCACCCCGTCTAGACCATCATGTGGGTGGTTCTCACCCTGTCTATACCATTATGTGGGTGGTTGTTACTCTATACCATCATGTGGATGGTAGTCACCCCATCTATACCATCATGTGGGTGGTTGTCACCCCGTGCATATCATCATGTGGATGGTAGTCACCTAGTCTGTACGATCATTTGGGTGGTAGTCATAATATCACAATGAAACACCGTAATCCAGCATGAACATAAATATTCGTCAAATTTATTTATAAGGCGTGAATTTAAAGTAATTGACATTCCCCGCTCAGTGAGCACCCTCTCCACCCTCACTGGTGATCTGTGTCCCTCAACCTCTGATGCAACCTGCACTCACTGACTGTCCACACACTAGTTATCCTCCCAGTTGGGTGGCATACTTTATATACAAGACTTACCTTAGAAAACAAGAGTAGGTTAGAGTGAAGCTCCCACACGCCACTGTTAGTATCACACACACTGAACAGTATCATACACAGCGGTAGTGATGGCACTAAACTCTGACACTAAGCCAGTGCCCTCGCTGCCAGACACTGTCGCTAAGCCAGTACCCTCGCTGCCAGACACTGTCACTAAGCCAGTACCCTCGCTGCCAGACACTGTCACTAAGCCAGTACCCTCGCTGCCAGACACTGTCACTAAAAGGGCCCGTACCCTCGCTGCCAGACACTGTCACTAAGCCAGTACCCTCGCTGCCAGACACTGTCACTAAGCCAGTACCCTCGCTGCCAGACAACCCTTACCACCCATAACACCACGGTAACATTCCCTTTTTCTCTAGGCCATATCGTTGCCAGATGTATCGAGGCCTCTTTTATTTCACAATATATTCTTTGTACGCATTGGAAGCTTTTGATCCAGTAATATGGGTTATCTTCCCCCTTCCTGGATCGAACATGATTGCCTCCAATTCCCCATGCACAGTTTACACCTACAGGTTTAGGATGGAAGAACTGAGAAGTGAGGGTCGTTCCAATAATGGCTGGATGGAGGAAGTAAAGGAGGTTTTGACTGCTCAGAGCTTGACCATGTAATGTGTGTTAGGAGTGATTGAAGACAATATTTTTATAGTTTTATGTGCTGTTGGAGTGTGAGAAAACATTCACGTAGGGATTCTGAGGAACCACTTAGCTATTCTGAAAAACCACTTGTATTATGACGTGTTCATACTTCTGGCAAGACAGTTATTGAATGTTCTTCAACTTTTGGTTAGTTCTTCCTCGATGAGAGACGGACTCCTTGGTACAGAGAATTTAATGTAAAAAATAAACTGTTTTAAATGACTGTAGTTTGTTATACATGAAAGTGGTTTGTGTCAGTGCTTGTGAGAGACATTCAGTGACGTAGTTTGTGGCTCTCCACGCGGAGATAACATCAAGGACACTCTCTTAACAGTCACTGTGACTTTGTTGACTTAATATAGTTTCATGAAGCTATCAGAAACCTCAAGTAGGGTAGGTCTGCAGATTATTTTTCATGGATGAAGAGGGAGAAACTCAGATGTTCATCAACTTCTCACGAATGTTCATTAATAACTTCACTTTAGGTAATTTAATTCAAAGTAAACTGATTACAAGTAATTTGATTTCCGGTAATCTGACTTTCTATTTGTCACTCTCTCAGAAATTTCACTCTATAAAAATTAACATTAAAAAACAAGTGTATTTACCTATGAAAACATGTAGTAATAACTACAGAATTCTTCTTGTACTCGGATTCACATGTCTAGTCATTTATGTATGTCAATTGGGTTTATATTTTTTATTGAATTATGACTTTTTATGTGCAAATCTGCTAATTTAAAAATAATAAGTTTTAAATATCTTAAAAACATAAAATCACGTATTTTTTTTTAAAATGTAGAAAATGAAAAACGAAAAATTGTATATATACCTTTTTTTACAGTTTGATTTTCAGCAGAATAATGACCCCTTAATACTGTACGACTCACTGCCAGTGTCGGACAACTGGAAGCTACAGAGTTCTTGTCTTCTAACTTCCTCCTATGCTTTCGTTTATAATTTTAGAGGTTCGTATCTGGTCAGCTTTAAATTTTCAACAGTGATTTAACTATTGCTAGGTGAAGGTTGATGTATCAACTGACAAGTGCAGGTGACCACTGTTAAGTTTCATACAGAACATTCCCAAAATTTTTATGTGAGCTTATAGAAAAGCATTTTCTGATCGGCTTCAAAATTATCTTACCTAGAATGAGGGTTTGTACCGCTAATCGAGTATTTATGTATTATTTCGACACTTCTTTGTATAATATTATTCTACATTATTGCATTAATTTACCTAGATTCTGATGAGAGGCTCCTGGATCGATTCTGAATGCTTCCCATTCCACAGACGCTATACTGATTTTTCACTTTCCCCTCATTAAAATAATGACTAATTCATCTTGCAAAGTGGAAGAACAACTTTACCGGTTTATGACCAATAGGCGCAAATTTTGTTGTATTCTGTCATTATGTCTCTTCAGCTTGGCTTCAAAGCTGATGTTTCTAGGTGTAACATCAGCTTTGAAGCAATTTGTATTGAAGAAATTGGGATATTGGTAACTATGCAATAACATGTGAATATCTGTTCTTATTCATTTTAAAATCGTCAACCTAATATTTAATTGCATTAGAAACATGCCACAATCTGCACTATTCCTTTAGCGAGTATTAGCGTACATGGGGCTGGGCGGCAGTACAGAGATACTTCACTTGGAGCTAACTGTGACCGAAATACATCTAGTTTATTAACGTACTTATGTAATTGTTCTTACCACATATAATGGTATAAAAGTGATTCTAACTTATATACTGTGTCTTAATGTGATTCTACTGCATACAATGTACTCATGTAAATATTCGTGAATTTGGAGGGTCACCTGATGATTATTTATTATTAAAGATTCGCCGGTATTCTTCCGGCCCGGGCCTTTTCCAAGTGGTGGCCCGGCCTTGGCTCCCTCTTTAGGGAGAGTCTGATACCTAAGTCTCCCATGGGAGGAGGCACAAGTACCTCCTCATCTTTGGGACCAACTGTCCCCAGGCCTAGCCACAAGCTAGGCCTCTCTGGTCTGCCATCCCCGCCCCAAGGGGGCAAATGGGAATGACAGTCTTATGAGCTAAAGGCTCGGGCTCAGGCACCTACCCTACCCTAGAAGGTTTGGGCATGGTGTCGATGTCACCTGATGATTAAAGCTTACAGCTCCCTCACTTTCCACCTGAAGTTAACAATTAACTAAAGCTATCTATATAAATTTGTAATTCCAGGGAACCAATTCAGCATGGTTAAGTTTAATTGCAAGGTTAGTTATGATATTACATTAAACCCTAGCATGTAAAACACATGCATGAGGAATGGAATCTCAAGGTCATCCTCAGCGTCTCTATTTTTACCTTTTAAAGAGGGAAGAGAAGCTTTGCGGTGACGTGAGTTTGGTAACAGAGACGAGAGTAATGTGATATATGTCCCACTCCTGTGTTGTTTATGTTGGCTCTGAGGCAACCCTCTATTATGATTACAATTTCTTCTCTCAGTATGAAATACAAACATAACTTTCTCATTGTATTATTAGGCAAAAGTCACTTTGACAGATTGCAAATATTGCCAAGTTAATCATGTACTAATAAGTGTCCAATATCGCATCTTTTCCTTAATAGCACCATTGTTACAATTACTAAACTTTTACAAAATTACTAAGTTAAAAAATAGATATTGTCAATACTAGAAAAGAAAATGCCATCAACATGATAAGATAAACTGATAAATTCACGAGGCAATACTGTAAACAGTTATTATTCTCACAGAGGCTACAGCCAAACACAAACAAATAAGTACAAAACCGACTGAAAAAAGTATTTAAGATACATGCAAAAATTTAACCAAATTAGAATAGAGAAAACAAAAGATGAGACAAAGAAAGCACTAAGTATGGTGTACCAGCAGATGACCGGACTAACCAGGTCAATGAGTTCGTTGTGAAGTACAGATGTGGGTCTGTTGTGAAGTACAGATGTGGGTCTGTTGTGAAGTACAGATGTGGGTCTGTTGTGAAGTACAGATGTGGGTCTGTTGTGAAGTACAGATGTGGGTCTGTTGTGAAGTACAGATGTGGGTCTGTTGTGAAGTACAGATGTGGGTCTGTTGTGAAGTACAGATGTGGGTCTGTTGTGAAGTACAGATGTGGGTCTGTTGTGAAGTACAGATGTGGGTCTGTTGTGAAGTACAGATGTGGGTCTGTTGTGAAGTACAGATGTGGGTCTGTTGTGAAGTACAGATGTGGGTCTGTTGTGAAGTACAGATGTGGGTCTGTTGTGAAGTACAGATGTGGGTCTGTTGTGAAGCACAGATGTGGGTCTGTTGTGAAGTACAGATGTGGGTCTGTTGTGAAGTACAGATGTGGGTCTGTTGTGAAGTACAGATGTGGGTCTGTTGTGAAGTACAGATGTGGGTCTGTTGTGAAGTACAGATGTGGGTCTGTTGTGAAGTACAGATGTGGGTCTGTTGTGAAGTACAGATGTGGGTCTGTTGTGAAGTACAGATGTGGGTCTGTTGTGAAGTACAGATGTGGGTCTGTTGTGAAGTACAGATGTGGGTCTGTTGTGAAGTACAGATGTGGGTCTGTTGTGAAGTACAGATGTGGGTCTGTTGTGAAGTACAGATGTGGGTCTGTTGTGAAGTACAGATGTGGGTCTGTTGTGAAGTACAGATGTGGGTCTGTTGTGAAGTACAGATGTGGGTCTGTTGTGAAGTACAGATGTGGGTCTGTTGTGAAGTACAGATGTGGGTCTGTTGTGAAGTACAGATGTGGGTCTGTTGTGAAGTACAGATGTGGGTCTGTTGTGAAGTACAGATGTTGGTCTGTTGTGAAGTACAGATGTGGGTCTGTTGTGAAGTACAGATGTGGGTCTGTTGTGAAGTACAGATGTTGGTCTGTTGTGAAGTACAGATGTGGGTCTGTTGTGAAGTACAGATGTGGGTCTGTTGTGAAGTACAGATGTGGGTCTGTTGTGAAGTACAGATGTGGGTCTGTTGTGAAGTACAGATGTGGTCTGTTGTGAAGTACAGATGTGGGTCTGTTGTGAAGTACAGATGTGGGTCTGTTGTGAAGTAGAGATGTGGGTCTGTTGTGAAGTACAGATGTGGTCTGTTTGTGAAGTACAGATGTGGGTCTGTTGTGAAGTACAGATGTGGGTCTGTTGTGAAGTACAGATGTGGGTCTGTTGTGAAGTACAGATGTGGGCGCAAAACAGTTTCGAAAAATGTGAGCAGGTAATGCAGGATGAATACACAGTATTTAAACACCAAAACACTCACACACACACACACACACGGCAAATGTAGTTCCCATTTTTAAAAAAGGAGACAGAAAAGAGGCACTAAACTATAGACCTGTGTCATTGACGCATTGACGTGTATAGTATGCAAAATTATGGAGAAGATTATCAGGAGGAGAGTGGTGGAGCACCTGGAACGGAACAGGAGTATAAATTCCAACCAGCACGGATTCACGGAAGGCAAATCCTGTGTCACAAACCTTCTGGAGTTTTATGATAAA